TGTCTCCTCTGGCCAAAAACCCCCTCCCAGGGTGAGCTACAGAGCTCACTCCCCTAACAGGGCTCCAGCCTTCAAAAAGACTGACTTCAGCACTAAATTCTCTCCTTTTTCTTGGTTTCTTTTCCATGACAGACAGGCCGAGGTGGAACCAATCCCTGGCTCAACTGGGTGTCTCCTCTGGCCAAAAACCCCCTCCTAGGGTGAGCTACAAAGCTTGCTCTCCTAACAGGGCTCCAGCCTTAAAAAAAGACTGACTTCAGCACTAAATTTTCTCCTTTTTCTTGGTTTCTTTTCCATGACAGACAGGCCGGATCGAACCAAACTACCCCAAAGTCTGTGGCCACCAGGGCAACGTGCTGGACATCAAGTGGAACCCCTTCATTGAGAACATCATCGCGTCCTGCTCCGAGGACACCTCGGTGAGCTGGGCTGCTCTGGGGCTGGCCCCTCCCGGGCTCCCTGCAGCTTCTGGACCTGGGAGAAGATCAGAAACCATCACCCATTCTGGGGTTTGGGGTGGTCCAGTTTCTAACTGGTTCCAAATCTGCCTCTTCTGGTCCTGGGTGTGTCAGTGGCTCCTCACCTCACGTCTCCTGCTCTCCTTCTGTTCAGTGCATGGGCTTTTTTTTATTAGCTGAAAGCTTGTCAAGGGAGATGTTGAGTAGGGGGAGAAAATTCCAATCATGACCATGAATCATGGTGAGCTGTCTCCCACTTCACATGATAACCTTTTCTAAGCAGTTGCTGGGGAACAGGAGGTGCTGGGAGGGAGGGAAGGGGCTGGGAAGACTTCATGAGCCATTGTTAAACCTGGGAAATGAAGTGAATTGCCCCTGAGGATGGAGAAGGGGTTCCCCACCATGAGTTGGAGGTGGACTGGTGGCTCCTGGTGCCACCCCACGCCCAGGGTGGTGCTGTGGGCAGGTTCAGCACCTTCAGGCTCTCTCTGCATGCCCCCAGGAGGGTCAGTGAGGTTCATGCCAACAGTCTTGATCAAAGAGAGAGGACAGCCAGGTCCTCAAGGAGTCTGAGCTGCAGAAAATGGAGCATTTGCACGACATCTGTCACCTGAGGACACGGCCACCACGACACACCCAGAGAACCTGCCCCCATCTCCTCCATCCTGCCTCGCTGTCGTGGGGCCACCCTTGTCCCCCACCTTGTCCTCCTGCACCTGCCCCCCTCCCTGAGGGTTTTTGGGAAGGGGCTTTTCAAGGGCAGGACAAAGTGAGCAGGAGGCTTCAGTGGGGATGACCCACTCTGGGGGTGTCTCAGGCTCTGGGTTTCCCTGCTGGTGGAGCTCTGGGTGCACTGGTGGGGGGTGGGGTTCTTGCTTAGCCCCAGCTCTGCCTGCACTGGCACCAGAGGGGCATCAGCTCAGCAGCCAGCTCTGATACCTCTGTCTGCAGGTTGTGGTGACCATGGGAACGGGGAAAGGTGCCTAAAACAGCCTGTCCTGCCTCCTCTGCCTGCTCTGAACCCATGACTGGGTGCTGGGTGAGCAGCAGCTCGTGGTGAGGCTGACATCTCTCCCAGCCCAGGACCAGAGCAGCTCCATCAGGTCCTTCTCCTCTTGGATCCTTCTCCTGCAGTCCAGGGGTGAAGCTGCTGCCTGTTTTGGGGCTGCTCTTTCCCCCCTGGTCTGATGGGATGTCCTCTCCATGCCCTCCTCCTCCTCCTCCCTCCCAGGGACCGGATCCACCTCAGGACATCCTTTAGAGTGCGGGATGAGGCATCTGGGCACTGGGGGCATTCACCCAACCCCTGGGGGGGCATCGAGGTCCTCCTGGGGCTCCCAGACCCATCCTGATGTCTGCCCATCCCACAGGTGAGGATCTGGGAGATCCCTGAGGGTGGCCTGAAGAGGAACATGACGGAGGCCGTGCTGGAGCTGTACGGGCACAGTCGGCGCGTGGGGCTGGTCGAGTGGCACCCCACCACCAACAACATCCTCTTCAGTGCTGGCTACGACTACAAGGTGGGTCCTGGCCACTTGGCCACCACCCAGGGCTGCCCTTTAGAGGCTTCCCCTGCTCCTGGCACGGGTGGGACTCGGCTGAGTGCAGCCAGGGCAGGACCCACCACTCCCTGTGTGCCCAGGGCCTCGCCCTTGCCACGGGCACCGCTCCGGTCCTGCGTTGGCTGCAGCTGCAGGGAGGCCCCAGGAGGAGGGGAGGGGGGCTGTGAGTGATGGAGGGGACTTCAGCCAGAACAGGAGATGAGGCAGCCTGTGCACAGGTGGCCAAGGAGGCCACCAGCCTCCTGGCTTGGATCAGCACTGGTGTGGCCAGCAGGAGCAGGGCAGGGATCATCCCCCTGGACTGGGCACTGGGGAGGCTGCACCTCAAATCCTGGGATCAGTTTTGGGCCCCTCCCTCCAAGAAGGACCTTGAGGGGCTGGAGTGTGGCCAGAGAAGGGCAACGGAGCTGGGGAAGGATCTAGAGAACAAGTCTGTGAAGAGTGGTTGAGGTTGGAGCCAGGGGGGGGTCGGTCGCTTCTCCCAAGGAACAAGAGCTCAAAGGTCTCTTCTAGTCCAAAGGATTCTGTGTTTCTATGGTTCCATATTAAGATACCCAAAGTGGGGGGTCTCCAGGAGTGGAGACACCAGGGCAGTCTCCAACCTTCTCTAGGTCCTCATCTGGAACCTGGACATCGGGGAGCCAGTGAAGATGATCGATTGCCACACAGATGTCATCCTCTGCATGTCCTTCAACACCGACGGCAGCCTCCTGGCCACCACCTGCAAGGACAAGAAGCTGAGGGTGTTGGAGCCACGCTCTGGCAGAGTCCTGCAGGTGTGGAGCTCCTTTGGGGGGGCTGTGTGCTGAGAGCAAGGGGGGGATTAGGAAGAAGGTGAGATCCTAGAAAAGGAGGCTCAGGGGCTGTGCGGGGCTGCTGACAGGAGCCTGGAACCAGGTGGGGGTCGGGCTCTGCTCCCATGGAACAAGTAATAGAACAAAAGGAAACAGCCTCAAATTTTGCCAGGGGAGAGTAGTTTGAACATTAAGAAAAATGACTTCCCTGGAAGGACTGTCAAGTCCTGGCCCAGGCTGCCCAGGGCAGGGGTGGAGTCCCCCCCCCTGGAGGGGTTTCCAAGCCGTGGAGATGTGGTGTGAGGGACACGGGGCAGTGGGGACCTGGCAGTGCTGGGGGTTGGAACCCATGATCTGAAAGACCTCTTCCAACCAAAATGATTGCATGATTCTCTAAGACCTTGGGCAAGAATCCTACAGAAGCAGAGAGAACACCAGCAGGGCACTGTGCATGGTCCTTGGGGGATGATCTGCACCTCCTGGGGTCTGGGGGGGATGCTCTGCTGGGCTTTGAGCCAGCTGCAGATGGTGGGAGGGGCTCGGCCTCAGCCCAGGCAGCGGGGTGGTGCCCCTGGCATTGCACCGGGGCTCGGCAGGGCTCGGGGGACAGGGGGGGCGGGTC